CAAAGTTAAGGTAGAAAAGGTTTATTTGGCTCACAGTTTGTGGAAGTTTCAGGCTATAGTCAGTTGGCTTCAAGGAAGGGTGGTGCATGGCACAGGGGCATCACAGAAGAGAAAAAGTTCATGGTAAGCAGAAGGCAGAAAAGTAAACAAGGGGGCAAGACAAGTCACTTTCTTTTCCTTATATTGTATCAAGACTACCAAGATTAGGGTGATACCAAACCAATTGGTAAACAGATTTAGTAATCACCCACCCTTAATCCTAGCATTGTTCCATGAACTAATCACATACTCTAGATTCAGCCACCTCTGAAAAAGCCTGACTGCATAAGATCTCAGGGGGAACATATAAACACAAAGCATAACACAGAAATTGGAAACCTATCATCTGCTCAACAAATGAAGGAAATGAGACTCAGAAACAAAATTAAAAGTGACATAACTAGAGACCAAAGGCAAGTCTGAGAGCATTCCACACTCTTGTGGTTGGGGCTCCATTATCCCTGTCACCCCGGGAGACAACATGACTCATATGCTCCCTCAGTAATCTGGATAACTCCTGCTTGTTCCAATACTACTTTCCACCATCTATAGGTATGCAACAATGAGAGAGGCCTCAGAAAGGGGCCCTGAGTGGTGTCCTGTACCAAACCTCAGAGAAAGGGGACGAAGCAGCCCAGTTCCAAGCCAGGGTCCTATCCAGAGTGCCAACTGAAAGCCCCAGGGCAACTCCCAGGTGAAAGGCAAATGCAAGATTCACCTCTTACCTACACCTTCCAGTTACATTCCATGTTGTGATACCAATTCAGAAGGCCTCTAGGGAACTGGTCAGAGCATACATAGATAAACTAAAGGTGTCTGACTCCTTCAGTCTCACAGGGATCTGCAGAGCAGAACCAAGCCTCTGGAGGAAGCAGCTTTATGCAAGGCATGAAAAGAAAGCCTTGGACCCATGACTTGGACTCAGCACCTATGCCAAGAGCAGAAACAGAGGAATCCATCAGAGAGCAGCCAGGACACACAGAAGTCATGTTCCATATGACCGTCCTCCTCCTTCAAGGGAAGTGTGGAGTTAGGGGAGGCTCCTGACCATGAGGAGCCAGCCAGTTTATCCCTCACCACCTGGCAGCCACTGTCTTGCTCTGGGGAACCCAATGAAAAGGAGCATTGGGGAGAATTTTGAAGGCATTGAAATAATTGAAATGTTACTTGTATGGATTTTTTGTGGTTTTCTAAAGACTGAACAATCATCTCATTCTCAGAGGAGTTGTAATTGAAATATAATTAAAAACTGCTGTCTTGTGGAGGCCCACAAATGGAAGAGCAAGCTGGGCTATCACAAACTAAGTCAGCATTATATGGTAGTGGTCCACCTGACACTGGAGATATCCAAGCACAGGGTGGCTTGGAGCTTAGAAAGAACTGGTAGCGGGAGAAAATAGCTGGAGTCTCATTCCACCGACTCTCCTGCCTTTATGTCAAGGGCACTGTCCTCTCTGTACCTACATCTAGACTTCTTCAACTGCTGCATGTCCTGAATGTCCTCTCTGTGACCACTCTGCTGAGGCCAGGATCTTCTGGGATCTTCACAAATAATCCTTCTGAGAAAAGATATTTGTCTTCCTGTGTTTTCAGGTTAGTGCTGCCCACTGAGGTAGCATCTACAAGTCCTTAACATCCATCTAAACACGGGATGAGGGGCTTGAACACCTTCACAATTCTTCCCTCTTCTTCATGCACGTGGAGTTCATGTCTCCCCCTCCAATCTTAATCTTACTGTCACTGTAGAACCCAGCACTGTCTCACTGGCAAGCCTGGTCACTGTGAGCCACCTTCAGTGCTGTGGGCCATTTAGCAATATTACCTTGCTTCCAACATGTCCCCATATCTTGGTTCTAAAACAACACTGTTCCAGATCAAACTGCTCACCTCCCTTCCACTGTTCCTTAAACTAAACATCTTAAAGCAGCTGAAACAACTATGTCCTTTTAGAGAGGTTTCTGCCAAGATTTTGTTTTTCACTCTGTGCTATCTTTGACCAGGAAAAACCTGAGGCCAGGGAGCTGAAGCCCTACTGACAGACCCGCCTATGTGTTCTCATTGTGGAATCTCGTCTTGACTTGAGAGATGTACTGTGTTCTGGCAGTAACAGGTGCTCCAAGAGGTCACTTATAGTGACAGTTGTTATCAGGTCCTGACCTAGATCCCCAATCTCCGTATGGCAAGGGCTTAAATAAAATGAGACAACTGGTATAATTTTAGAGCTGTAGGAGGGTCAAAATCCTTTAGCTGAGTTCGAGGCTCTGAAGGCTAAGACAGACTTCTCTGGACTGCCCATTTTTATTAGGTCCATAACAAAGAGTGGGGAAACAGGAAAATGCAGGCAATGAGCGGGACCTTGGAGTCACTTCAAGGACATTTCCAAGAAATAAATCATGTCAGTTTAGGAGAACCATCTTATCTTCATGATGATATGGTAGGAGTGCGACTGTAGGACTAATCCCTGCAATTGCAGTCTCTATCTACTTAATTGATGTTTGAGCCAAGTGGCCACAGCAGTGGCCTTATCTTGCCTTTTGAGGTATCTCTGACCTCACAGGCCACTCCACGTCTCAGCCAGGATTCATAGAGGTTCACATACTATGAATCAACTTCCATCATCAGGCAAGGGACAGAGGCCTAGGACGGACTCCTAGATAAACATAGAAAGCCAATCAGTTAAGTTTAAATCCTGCTCAGAGCTGCTTCATAGTGGTCTCCAACAAGTTGCAGCCAAAGACTGATGCAGTTTATGGGGGAGGCACTCAGGGGAATTAACACCAGCCCCTTAAGAACCTCAGTTCACCATTTTTCGACTCAATGTAGAAGCCAGCCACTGTAGACTTCTGTGCCACATGTTAGAGAGATACATGAACAGGCACACCTTACCTGCTGTCTTTGCCCTATTACTGTTACTATGCTTCTCCCAAGACCCTGAACTCCTTGAAGGCACTCACTCTTCTTCCTGTGGTCTTGTATACGGGGCAACTAGCTGCTGCTTCCTGAGGTACATGTTCAGATCACTCTGGGGAAGGAGAGGATGAATAAATGAACAAACTAACGAGTGACTATGTTAAAAAATAAAAGAATGGAGGAATGAAGGAACTTTCTTGGACAGCCTCTTGAGTAAGAGGAGTTTAACAATGCCAGTTCAGTACTGTTGGATGAGTCAACCCTCTGAGACATGTTTTGTAGTACAGAGCTCATTGTGATATTAAAAATGTAACAGGGAGTATAATCTATGTAAATGGGGCAAAGCCTAGTGTCTGATACCCATAGCAGGTGCTCAAGACAGTGGCAGTGATCAGCCTTATTAATAAAATACATGAGGATAATGGCAAAGACATGATGGTCAGGCAAATATTAGGTTTTGTGGAAACAAAGTTGGGCCATGAGGCTGAGCACTAATCTGAGCTCCATTCTACCCACTCACTCCAGTGCGGCCTCTTGGATAGACCAGGGATGGTCCTCCTGGGGGCGGGGGGGGGGAGCTGAGTGACAAGAATAGGAATCTTGAGGCAGCAAGGGCAGTGGGTGATGACAGAAGAGATGTGGATGGAGTCCAGAACCTTACTATCACAACACACAAGATGACCTTGTAGGACCCTTCTCCATCTTGAGCCTAAGTTCTCATGGGCACGGGTAGGATTGCCCCGGGACAAACTCTCCAAGTTCATCAAGATGATTGCTTAAACCCTGGCCCACAGCTTTCTGGAGGAAAGGAACTTGTGCCACAGGGCCAGGCCTGAGTTTCAGGGAGTACCATGTACCTGAAGGGCCTATCCTGGGAGAATCAAAATTTGGGCCTGAAAGGAAGCTCAGAGTTCCTAACATGGCAGTTAGAATATGGGGACATCTATCATATGCAGCTGATATGCCCCTACTATCTCCTTTCTTGGGAACATCACCATCATGGTCTATGTCATTGGTCCCCAAGCCTCCTGCACTTATGCCATTGTGACTGGTTCATTGTCTAGCACTTGGATTGGTGGTGTGAGTGCTACACCCACCTAGGGGTGGAGCCAGGATATGATGTAATGTGGGAAGAAGATGTGTCTCTCTCTCTTGCCAGTTTCCACTTTGCTGTTTGCAGCCACCATGAATTGCAGCCCTGCCTATGCCACCTTGCCTTGGAGCCAACTGAGTATGTCCAAGAACTGTAAGAAATAAACATTTCCTTCCCTAACTTTGGACATCAGGTATTTTGTCTCAGCAATGAGTAAAAAGTAACTAAGAAAATCACTTAAACATTTGACTTTATGACCAGTGATGAAACCTATTGGAAAAAGGAGTCACAAACTCAAAGCTTCACACCAGATTGAGACTAATGAGCTAACTACAATCCCCACACAGACCCTAAACTTAATGCTAAATCTAACACTAGCCCTCAGACTAACACCATAAAACTCACTCTAATCCCTAACTCTAACCCTCTCAGGAACCCTAACTCCAACCCCAAATCATAAAACCTTCAGTCAAAACCCAACCTAAAATTGAAACCTATCTCTATTTCTAATCTTTAAGCCAACCCAACCCACCCCTGAACTCTACTCCTATCCCAATTGCCAACCCTATAGCTAATTTCAAACTCTAACCCTAAATATAACCACTAATCCTAACTGGAAACCCTAATTCAGTGGTCACAGAAACCAAGAGACCTATGAACTCAAGGCTTTCTCTGTGGAAGTGGGATCTGGTCAGTTGAATTGATAATGGAGGAGCAACGTGCGGATCTAGACTCTTCTGGAGGATCTGCACAGTTTGCCTGGTTTCCCCTGAGTCCGGGGCACCGGCAGTACAGAGTACAGCAACAAATAATAGAACAGCTCCAGGATGGCGAGGGGACGACCGTTAGGCGAAGGGATGGGGCTCCAGGGACTGTTGAGACAAAGGACTGGACTGCTGGTGACCGTTGGGGAAAGGGCGGGGCTGCTGGGACCGTTGGGCAGAGGGTGGAGCTCCTGGGACCTCACGGCGAGGTCAGAGCATGTGCTCTACCCCAGCCCTTGCCCAGGAGACATTGCTGGGGACGCAGGGCCTAGTCCTGCGTGGCTCCTTAGTGGCCACAGGATGAAAGTCCACCCCTTCAAGGAGAAGCCGCAGGAAGAACCTGAGACTGAGCGGGAGGCAGAGCCCGAGCCTGAGCCTGAGCCTGAGCCTGAGCCTGAGCCTGTGTCTGAGCCTGAGCCTGAGCCAGAACCTGTGCTCCAGGGAGGGCAGCCAGAGGAGGCCACGCCAGAGGGAGGGCCTGGGCCCAATGGGGAGGAGCCCAGCTCAGGCGAGGTGGCAGCCTCGGAACCCAGGGTTTGGGATCAGGAGATGGAGACCTCGGAAACCTCGGTCGCCTCGGTAACTCCAGGGCTTGGGGTTGCTCCACGCCGAATGCGCACTGACTGCGTCGAGGCGCCGCTGTCCCACGCCTTTGAGCACCTGGGCGCTACTGTGGGCGATCACCCCTGGGTCTTCCTGATTCTACCTCTGCTGCTCACGGCCGCCCTGGGCACCGGATTCCGGTATGTGCAATCGGAGGAGGAGGACCTGGAGAACTACACACCAGTCGGGAGCCCAGCCAAGCACGAGCGGCACTTTGTGCAACAACATTTCTCCGCCAATGACACCCATAGCTTCTTGGCCTCCAGGATGACCAAGGAAACCAACTTTGTTTCCATTCTGCTGGTCTCCCATGACAACTCACTGCTAAACCAGGAATCCTTTGCAGAAGTGGATAGATTGGACCAAGCAGTGCAGACTCTGAGCGTGCAGGAAAATGAAACTGAGGTCCTGTATATGGAGGTGTGTGCCAGGTACCAGGGCCTCTGCGAGCCCTCCAACCCACTCCTGTATTCCTGGCAGCAGGACAGGAACCTCGACCTGACGCAGGTCAGCTTCCCCATCCATGTGCACGCTGGCCGCATCATCAGTCTGGTGGGCTTCTTTGGAGGGTATACCTTGAATAAGATGGCAGGGACCCAGTTACTGATGGAGGCTAAAGCCTTGCGGCTGCTGTACTACCTAAAGACACAGCACAAGGAAGACAACGAGCGGAGCAAGAAGTGGGTGAACCACTTTCTGAACCAGTTTGAGGACATTAAAAAGAGGCTGGCCTTGAGGAACCTGCAGGTACCTGAGGCCAGGGTGACCGGGAGGCTGAGGAGGTGGGAGGCCTGGGGAGATGGGTTGAGGACTTCCTGACTGCTGGAGTGGTCCTTGACTCCGGGGTGGAGTGCTCTGCTGTATTTGGTGCTTTATTCAACTTTCTCAGATTAACACAGGAGGATGCCACAAATCACGTCCTTGGGGATGTTCCTGTGGATAACATAAATCTTATATCCAACAGCTAGTTCTGCTTAGTATGGACACTGATATTTTCATTTCATTTTGGGTTTGGTTTTGTAATTAAATTACCTTGAGATTGTTACTTTTTGTTAAAGTCTTCACTGGCTTCTGGGAACCACCTAAAACTTGTTTGGAGCTCATGGGATCAGATGACAAGCAGACCTTTCAGTGAGATTGCGTTAAGAAGATAAGTAACTCAGCATTTTTCAAGTTAGTTACACATTAAAGCAGCTAGTTTTTATTGTAAGGTACATGTTAGCTGTTCAGTAACTGGAGCCCCAAAACTCTTAATTGTTAGAAATAAGTCTGATAAAAGTGAGACTCCTACTTGGAAAGACCTTTTGATGATCAGGTCTTCCAGAAATACTTGTGCAGAATATACAAATGTAATAAAATTTAAAAAGCCACAGTTTTCAAAGTAATGAGGACTAGATTTCAGTTGCATACAAAATTCAGTTTTAGGGTTGAGTCCAGAGAGCACTGTAGTTATATATACAGCCCTTAGTTTTATTTTGTGATAGGTCTCAACTTAGTAGTTGCCCAGGCTGACCCCCAACTTGTGGTCCTTCTGACTCTGCCTCCCAAGTAATTGGCAACTTTTGAGGTTGTTTTTTTTTTTTTTTTTTTTTTTTTTTTTTTTTTTTTGTGGTACTGGGGATCGAACTCACTACCTTGTGCTTGCCAGGCAGGCACTTATGCCACTGAGCTAAATTTCTGGCCCTAAACTTTGAGATTTGAAGGAAACTTGAGAAAGCAAAACATAGATTTTGTGGGAAGAAGGGAATCTTACATCTTTTTTTTTTATTAATATGGGGGGGGGATCTTACATCTTTATCCTAAAATTGTAATTCATTTATATCTTTCACTAAATATGCAACCCCCAAAGTTAGAGGAGGACAGTTCACAGTTTGTAAAGGTTTCAATCCAATGTTGCTCCTGAGGCGGAGGAGCAGAGCATGCCAGAGAGGCATCACAGAGAAGAAACAGTTTATGGAAGGCAGAGGGTGATAAAGCAGGAGGCAGCAGCAAGCATGAAAGAAGTGAAGCAGCAAGCGAGGATCAGCAACCCTCTTTCTGTCCCTTGTGTCTTATCTAGGACATCTACTCTTAGGCCATCTAGCACTCACACCCGGGCTGGGCAGCTTTAATCCTTCTATCACAACACAATTCAATCTTAGCATCACATCCTTGATCCCAGCAGCACATACACACCTTGTACTCAGCCACCTTTGACTGCATGAGGCTTTCAGAGGTCATCTAGATACAAGTCATAACACTCACAAAGGATTGAAAATTACTTACCTGAGTATACTTTTTATGGCAGGTGGTCCACTTTACCTCACTTTCCCGACAACTGGAGCTTGATGTGGCATCTCAGTCAGTCATCCCTTTGTTTTACTTGGCATACATTCTGGTCATACTGTTTGCAGTCGTATCATGCTTCAGGTAAAACACTTTTATAAGCTTTTATTTCTTATTTTATAAAACACTTGTGATAAGATGTATATTATATAATATTCTACATTAACCACTTTAGATGTACAAATTAATGACAGTAATTATAGCCACACTGTTTGTAACCATCATAATGCCAAAGTTTTCATTACTCCAAATAGAAACTGTGATCATTAAGAAGTGATTCCCAGTGCCCCCTCCTTCAGTTCCATTTAGCCTTTAACAAACTTTCCATCTCTGAATTTGCCTATTCTAGATAGTTGTCCTGTGTTACTAGCTTATTTCACTCAGAAGATATCTTCAAGACCTGTCATTAAGTTTGTATCAGAATTTTATTCTTTTTTATGGCTGAATAATAGAATCTTCCAACTTGGTACTTTTAAACATTATTCTGATCGTATGAAGCTCCTTAAAATACTGTAGGCCTACAGTTATTGATAGTATTGCCTTAAAATCTCTTCTCTCCTTTCCTATTTTTTTTGATGCTGGAGTTTGAGCACAGGGACTTCATACATGTTAGGCAAATGCTCTAAGCTGATCTACATGACTAGATGCTTCTTTACTGTATTTTGAGACAGGTTTTTAATAAGTTTATCAAGGCTAGCCTCAAATTTATGATCCTTCTGCTTTAGCCCCCAGAGTAGCTAGGATTATAGTCATATGCCACTATGTCTGTGTCTTACAATCTTTTTTATTTCTCTTGAATTTGATGATAATGTCTTCATTTTTATATCTGATTTACTTACTACTTGTGTCTTCTATCTTATTTTTCTTTGTCACTGTAGATAAAGCACTTTGTCACTGTAGATAGTCAATTTTATTGATTGTTTCAGAGAGCCAGCTTTTGTTGGTCCTATTGCTTTTCTATTTTATTTGTGCTAAACATTGGTGTTTTGATCACTGTTCTTTCTTTCTTACTTGCAATGTTCTGAATGTTGGTGTCTTCTTCAAATCTTTATCTTGAAACCTAACTCCCAGTCTGGTAGTATTAGGTAGGCACTTTGGGAGATGATTAGAATGAGATTAGTATCCTCATAAGAGTTATAAGGGGCTGTATTGTCTTGTGCCACATGAGGATATAACAATCTATGAAATGAAGAGTGTGAACTCTCACTAGATACTGAATCTGCCAGCAGCTTAATTTTGGTTCATTCACCCTCTAGAACTGTGAATTTCTGTTGTTTTTAAGATCCTACTCTGAAATACTTTAGTATAGCAGACTAAGACACTTCTGGTAGCTTTGTGTTTGTTTTTTCTCTTTTTTTCTGGTTCTACAAAATGTTGTTGTTAATGCTTTGATTTTTTTCACCATTTTTAAGCATTGTGGCTTTTTTTTTATTTAAAGAAAGACTAAACAAAACAGAAAATAGGTAGAAATAATACATACATTCAGAGAAAAAAAAACAGTAAGAAATCACTAGTTGATGTTTAGATATTGTCGTTTTACAAATAGTTGTTCAAGATACAAAAACGGAACATGTAAACTGGGAATTCAAACAGCGAGTTTGTGTGCCCCACAGACAGTTCTGTACAGCTGTCCAACAAAAACTTAGTAACATGGTTATCAGTCCTATACATTTAAACATACATGCAGTTATCCATATCTTCATTTATGTTTAGATTGAACAAACTAGAGCAGGTTAAAATCATTCTGAACAAAGAATAATAGTATTGCTGGATTTCATATCATGACACTCTGTGATCAGCACTGGGTACTGTAGTGTCTTTTTAAAAATTTAATTTAAAGAAAGACTAAACAAAACAGAAAATGGGTCGAAATAATACATAATTTCAAAGAAAAAAATAAACAGTAAGAAATCACTAGTTGATGATTACAGATTATCTTCTTACAAATAGTTATTCAAGATACTAAAATGGAGCATATAAAGTGGGGATTCATACAGTGAGATTGCAACCAGTTCTGTTCAACTATCCAACAAAAACTTAGAAATATGGTTATCAATCCTATAATTAAACATACATGCAGTTATCTGTCTCTTCAATTATGTTGAGATTGAATAAACCCAAGCAGGCTAATGTCACTCTGAACAAAGAATAACACTATTGCTGGGTTTCACATTATGACACTCCAGGATCAGTACTGGGTACTTTAGTGTCTCTTTAAAGTATCTGTTCATTTCATCATGTGTCATAAGATCAGTTCTCATAAACTGTTTATAGATTATACACATGCATGAGTCTTAACATGTATTTCTATCCTTTCTATATTAGAGGGAGAAACAAAACAAAGATGGCAAAACAAAACATATTCCTATAAACACATGAAATGAATAAAACATATAAGACCATTGTACAAAGAGTTCTGCCATGGTTCTTGTGTTGTCTCTTGTTATCTCCAATAGAATTGGATATATCATCAGACATAGTATAATTGAATATATCAGTACATAACAGTATTAATAAAAACACAACTTTGTATATAGTATGGAAATTCAAAAACCAGCAGTTATCAAACCAGAATGTACATCGTAGGGTCTTGTAATCTTCAGTGTAGTTGCCTATACTCTCAGACTTGATACTACCAATCGTATCAGTTTTGAATAAAATCTTCTCTGCCTCATTTCTGTTATGCTCTTGTTTGCCATCAGTTGTCTGCTTACCTTCTTCATTCTGTTTTCTGCTCCATTCTTTGAGTCCTCTCTGCCACTGTTCCTGGAATCCTAGTACTTTTCTCTCTCTCTAGAATGCCCTGCAGTATTCTCTGTAGAGTTGGATTGCTGGTTGCGAATTTCCCAAGTTCCTCTTTGTCTTGGAAGCATCTTGTTTTTCCATTAATTTCTAGAGACAGTTTACCAGGGTATATCAATCTGGGATGGAGGTTATTTTCTTTCAGGGCTTGGAATATTTCACTCCAGGCTCTTCTTGACTTGATGGTTTGTGTCGAGAAGTCTGCCGTTATTCTGATGGGCCTTCCTCTGTAGGTTATCTGTTTCTTGTCTCTAACAGCTTTTAATATTCTGTTCTTATATTGAATTTCTGGGATCTTGATTATTATATGCCTGGGTGTAGCTCTGTTTTGGTTGTAGGTGGCTGGAGTTCTGTATGCCTCATATATGAAGAATATCATTTCCTTTTCCTATGTTTGGGAAGTTTTCCTTAATTATTTCTGTGAATAACCTTTGTAGTTCCATTGTTTGTATCCCAGCTTCTTCATTCACATTCTTTATTTTCAAGTTATAGATCCTTTTATCATCTTCTAGCCTTTGTATTATTACTGCTTGTTTCTTTGTTGTTTTTAAAAAGTTTTCCCTTTCATACTCCCACATTGCAAAATTGTCCTCCAGTTTGGATAATCTATCCTTAGTTTCTTTCAAGCTGATTTGCCATCTTTCTATAGAGCTTTTAATTTCCTGGTGATCTCTCTGAATCTGCTTCATGTATTTTATATTTTTTTATATTCTTCATCAAATGGTTCTCTCCTTTGTTTGAGTTCCTCCCTTCTTCTGTCTGTGTCTGTTTGAGGGGTGCTTAGTATCTCTTTTATTAATCTTCTTATATCTTGCTTTATTTGGCTAAATAGTTTTACTCATCTATGAGGTCCTGAATATATCTCTTTATGTCCACTGGCGCTGTGTCTGATATTGCATGTTTGCTGTTCTCATTCTCCTTTGTATTTACCTGTCCTGGGTCAATGTTCTCAGGGTTGGGGCTTGGGGACTTTTTGTTGTTGCTTCTTCTTCCCATCTTTTTGCTTCTTCCAGGAGGCCCCAGTTTCTTTCTTTGTTGGTTACAGTTCTTCTGAAGCATGCTGGCTAGATGACCCTTCACACTGCAGTGTGCAAGTGAGTTGCAGACAGGGACAGCGTATGCTGGCCCCTCCCCTCTGTATCAGTCAAGCTGCTGTGGCCTGCATTACTGTATTACTTTGCGCTACCTCCCCTCCGGACCAGCAGTGTGGTTAGTGTGTGCCCCTGCTGCAGGAACTTGACCTCAGATAACATATTGGGTCTCAGCTGGGTCTCACGTGACCCAGGCCTAGCTCACTCCACCAATCCCGTTTGGGCAGGGAACAACTCATTGCTGCCCCTTGTACTTGCCAATCCTGCCCGGTCCCAGAATGTCATTCTCCAGAGCCCCCCTTTCTATGGAATGGTTCCACTCCCGTCATTCACCACAGGTTGATATAGGCACCCTGCCAACTCAGCTCTCCCTTTGGCTCGCTGACCCCCGAACTCAATGTTACTGTGACTCCAGTGAGTCTAAGTGGCGGGACCTTGGACGGCTTGGCAAGTCACAGTGGGACCCCGGAAAGTTGCAGCGGGACCTCGGATGGTCTGCAAATCTCCTTAATTTCTTCTTGGGACGAGAGAATTCATCTCCCTCTGTTTGGGGCTCCCTACTCCGTATTATGTTCTATTCTAAGTTGAGTATCTCAGGGAGCTTTTGTAGTCAGTTGTTATGTATCTGCTATCTTTGCTCCTCCACTGATATTTTTTCTTTTTTAATGCAGGTGTTTATATCTACATATTTTCCTTGAAGCACTGTTGTCACTTTATAAGTTAGGGTATGTTGCATATTCATTTCTATTCTTCACTAAGTGCTTTCTAATGTCTCTTGTGATTTATTTTTGATTTACTGGTTAATAATATGTTACTGAAGCTTTGTATGTTTGTTAATTTTCCACTTGTTCTTCTACTATTGATATAAAGCTTTGGTTATGAAGGGTGCCTTTTTAGTTTGTTTCTAAATATTTGTTCAGACTTGTTTTGCAGTCTGCCACATGGCCTTTCCTAAAAGAGGGCCTAGTACATTTGAGAGAAAAGTGTGCACTACTGTTGTTGAGCTAAGTGGTCTGTTTACCTTTGCAGGGTCTAATGGTTCATAGTTTTCTTCATTTTCTCAGTGTCCTTAGGAATCTTCAGCCAGATGCTTTCCTTATTATTGAAAGTGATAATTAACATAGCCTGTCTTTTGTTTACTGCTTGCATGAATATCTTTTTTTCTGCACTTTCACTTTCTTATTTATTTATTGTGTCTTTTTTGAGATGGGGTCTTGCTATGCAGTTCAGGACAGCCTTGAGCTCACTTTGTAGCACAGGCTGGTCTGGAACTCGCAATGATCCTCCCACCTCAGCCTCCTGAGGTGTAGTGTGAAAATATGTAGTATGGGCCACCACCCCTGGCTTGCACTTTCACCATATTTTTGCTTGAGATCTTTGTAAATTGTTTATTTCCAGAATTTCCCACTTTAATGTATTTGGACCACAGTTATCTATAGATACCTGAAACCACAGAAAGCAAAACAATAAATATGAGGAGACAACTATGTTCAAATTCCCACTTCTTCCCTATTCAGTGTTAGATCTTATTATAAAGACTTTTTGAAAAAATATTTGGGATTTTGATAATAATTGCCTAAAATGAAAGACTGAAACAGTATACATATTAGGAACAACCTAGAGAACAAGTTGCCTTCCACTGTCTAATGAACATTGAATGCAAAGAGATTTAAAGAAATTCAAGTTAGCATCCAGTTCATTAGCATCACTACCAATACACATCATTTCCCATGTCCTCCAAGTTTCACATCAGAAAAAGCACAGAGGCTCATAAAAAGAAATGGGAAGAAATGTGTCCTGTATAACATTTACCTTCATTAATCTTTCTGATATGTTCATTTTATTTTTTTCTTATCTTAACCTCATGTTTATCAATATTGATGTTTTATAAAAGTTTATTATAGAAGAGCAATTTACTTTTGCTTTGTAGTTTGTATTTGCATGTTGTTTTGGGTTCCTAATTTTAATTCATAGCATTTGCAGATAGGAAAAAAGTGAAATACAACCACAATGTATGTGTAATATGAAATTTTTGGTAGTTAAATGTGATCTTATCACATGTATATGTAATATGAAATTTTTGATATTTAAATGCGGCCTTGTCTGAAGGACTTGAATTATGTTCCTGCTGTTTTGGAATCGTTGAATTTAACTCCTCAGTTGTCCCTCTTAGATTTCAAGTCCAAACTTGATTTCTCTCCCTTATTAAAATATGTGGAGGTATTGATATCAATCATTTGTTTTAAAGCAATTTCCAGCAAGTAATAACTAACATTAGAGGTAATTGTCAATATTTTAAAGCATAGTGTCATAGATATTGTAGAGATAAAACACTGAATCATATGTTAAAATGTCTTGTTATAGGTGTGACCTAAATGTGTAGTGATGCCAAACACGGTGGCGCACGCCTGTAATCCCAGCACTTGGGAGACTGAGGCAGGAGGATCATTGCAAATTCTAGACCAGGCTGGGCTACAAAATAAGCTCAAGGCCAGTGTATACTTCATAGTGAGAATGTGTCTCGAAAAGACCAAAATAAATAAACAAATAAATAAAAGTATGGCACATATTTAAATTTAAAAATTTTATTACAGTAAAAGACACATTGCCATTTATTCCCCTCAAAATAACTTATCTTTCATTTGAAAATACTTATCTCATTGTTCTTGCCAATATCTGAAGCAGTTTTGGAAGTCGTCTTCTGTGTGAGTCTACAAATCTTGACAAAAAATTTTTTTTCAGTGAGTGCTGCTGCCAAGTGTTATCTAATATAAAGATATTTCATGCTATATTCATGGCCAGTTGGATCTCAGGAGTTGGTAAAAAGGTAACTGAGTCTATGTTCTTTCCCTGGTACTGCTTGCCCTCTGATATGAATTGAATATGATCTAAATGTGTCTCCAGAGGTTCAGGTACTACAATAATGTTCTCATCTACCTTATATTCACTGGATATGGCACCGTAAATCTTTCAGCAATTCCCCAAAATCCCAGTGACATGAAAAGTCAGTGTTGTGAATCATCTCAGGATCTGAGGCAGCCACTATACCCTAACTAAACACAGTCCAGAAAGAGGAAGGCCAGAACTGCTCCAAAAAGTGATAAGAACAATAAGTGAAGTGTATTTGAAGCAAGGGAGAGTATTTGGTGGTGGTGTGGTGGGGGTTAATGGCAATGTTTTTTTACTGTAATGAATATTTTAAAAATAAAAATGTTCATGTGATTTTTTTCAACCACACCTTCTATAGTCTCATTTCTGTTGCCCTGACAAGGAAAGAAGCACATTCAAAATACAGCAGATTTCAGCTCCTTTTTTCCAAGTTAATAGCAACTTTTCTACAGAGCACATTTCACCAGTAGAGAAAAATTTTGAAAGTGATTTAAAACCAGGGTTGTGTATGTTTGTTAATCACAGTGCACAATGAACCAGCCTTGAAGTGCAGGAGATAGTTTATATTGTGTTCATGGCCAGTTGGTGCTCCAGAGTGGGTAGGAAGGTAACTAGGTCTGTTCTGTCTCTGGTACTGCTGGTCCTCTGCTGCAGATGGGAAGTGATTCAAGTGTGTCTTCAGAGGTCTGTGCAATGCGTGCTTGGTCCCAGGATGGTATGAGGAGATGGTAAAACCTTCAAGAATCAGGGCCTAATGGAAGGAGGTTAAGTCATGAGGTTCTTTTCTCCCTTGAAGAGAGGTTATGTAGTTCTCATAGAACTCTGGCTAATTGCTATCAGCAAGTTGTTATAGAAAGTTCAAGTCCCTGAATCTTTCTAGCTTCCTGTCTGGCCAGCACTCTCTCTGTCTTTCATTCTTCCACCATGATGCCATGTATCATGTTATGACACAATGAGCAGAGCCTGCCGAAGTACCAATATCATGATCTTGTATCCCCCATAGCAGAACCTAAATAAACTTCTTTTTCTTTTTACAGATTATCCATTGTCTAGTATTTTATTATAGCAACAGAAACTGGATTAAAGGCCCATCCCTTTTCTGTCATATTACATTCATACCCTTCTGAATATCAGAATGCAGTTTCCCATCTGAAGTATTGAGTAAATCTTTGTGATTCTGAAATGCTAGTCAGTGCATTCATTAGTGCTTGAGTACCTGCATAGGAATCGCTCAGAAGTTTAGTAAAAGTATATATTGGTAGCTTTTCCATCCTTACCATTCCATCTGAGAGAGTGACTGGGAATTTAAAGGTCCCCAGCAGAGAAGTATCAAAATTACTGCCCCAATGTCCAGACCAGGAATGTTGTCAATGAGAATCTCAATGTGGAAGCTGCCACTACAAATTCCATGTTTTTTTCCCCTCAAAATTTACAGGTTTGACTGTATACGAAATAAAGTATTGGTTGCAGTCTGTGGAGTATCTTCTGCTGTCTTGGCAGTGGTGAGCAGCTTTGGTCTCATGCTGCACATTGGAGTGCCGTTTGTAACCATAGTTAAAAATTCACCATTTCTCATTCTAGGTGAGTAAAAAAAATGTAAATCTGCACATTGTTGTGTATGTGAGGTGTGGAGTACATGAGGGAAGGGATTGTAGGTGGATGTGAAGATTCAACATGAGATGCTGGGAAAGAGGAAAATCACATGAAATTATGTGTCTTTGGATCCGGAAAAATCTGGTATCCCAAACAGACAAATAGTGAATACAAATAATAATTCACACATAAAAAACAGAAGTCTCTGAAAACAAGAGAAAAATAATTTGAACTCTCAATCAAGGAATACAAATCAAACTAAAAGTGATAATTTGTTTTCTTACTCATTCAGCAAGATGGAAAATTTGGAAAATGTTATGTGCAAAGGAAAACCCTCCTAATTGTGCTGTGGGAAAATATAAACTGCTACACAGACATTTGTAGTCCAACTTTGCAACAAATCCAAAGACTTAGAGAAACAGTACTTTTGACCCATCAATTCTTCTTAGAATCTGGTCATGCAATCAGGCAAGAATCACAGGCAGAGCAAGGAAGTGTCTGAAACAATCACATCAGGATGAGATCTGTCAACTCAAATGTAGCAAATGTAAAATACTGAAATGATACTCAGTCTTTTATGCTCATTAAATAAAGTTTCTGATTATAAAACATTTGAAATAGAGAAATAGCTATGTGTATATTTGTGTAGAACAAATTGTAGGTGGATATACATTGAATTCCTAATAGGAACTATCTCTGAGTAGTGGAATCATAGTTATTTTCAATTTTTTGTTGTGTTTATGGTACTTTCAGAATTTACTTAACACAATACATGGGAAAACAAAATCATTAATTGTAGAAAGTAAGCAACTTGGAAGAATCTGTTCTTTGTTTTCTAGAGGAGGTAGTCATGTGGACTGGATATTTGTTTTGGCCCTGTAGAGCACACCTTCCTAAACACACACTCAGTCACTTGGTGTACCCTGAAGTCATAAATAACTATAGTTAAAGCATATGCTGCTGTTTTATTATAAGCCATTTTTGGTCTATACACACATACATACATACATACATACATACATACATACATACGTAAGAGTGTGTGTGGTTTTTGAAACTTAGCCAATAAATGTATGAGGACAACTCCTGAACAAGGTTCTTTAATGAATAAAATTGGCTTTTCAAGATCTGATTATTTCAGCTAAGCAGGATTGGAACCCTCATAGCCACCAGCAGAAGGGTGCTTTCGATGAATGAATGGCAGACTCCACAGCTTTGTGTACACGTACACCTTCTATCTGGATCGTGCACATGGCATGTCTGATGTAGAGGCCAGGTTCTAATCCCAATATTCTTCTAAATTCTTCAAGTTTGTTTACTTTCCAAAATATGAAAAGTAAATTGAAATTACGATCAACATTTCAGTTCCAAGTACCATACATGGAAGCAGAGGCATATAAGAGTGAAAGCATGTCAACTCATAGAAAGTTCGAAGGAGTCACAGTTTATCTGAAACATGTTCACATTGTCCTTCCTGGTCTCCTTTCTGTGTAGTCCTTTTTTCCTCCCACTCTTCACTAGTGATTTCAGAGTCCCCAAATATTCTTATGTTCTGTTACAAACCAATCTCATGGTGGAAAGGAACTAATTACCTAGTAGGCAAGTAAAGACTTGGAATAGAGTATACAAGGTATATGTAAACAAAGGCTTTTTACTGAGGAAGGCCTGATGAACTCTGTTGTAAATTCAGAGGCAACTAAGAGAAAGAATTGTGGAAGAGATAGTATTTAAGCAGAGATTATAGCTGGGTGTGGTGGCACATGCCTGTAATCCCAGCAATCAGGAGGCTGAGGCAGGAGGATTGTTGTGAGCTCAAGACCAGCTCAAACTGCATAGCGAGACCCTGTCTCAAAAAAAGCAGAGATTAGGCAGAATCAATGGCACAGAGAAGTAAAATGGTCCATTTATTTAACTATTAACATACATTAACATATATAAAGATTCTGTTCCTCTTTAACAGGTGTTGGTGTTGATGACATGTTCATCATGATTTCTGCCTGGCAGAAGACCAGCCTCATGGACAGCATAAGAAAGAGAATGTCCAAGGTCTATAGACATGTGGCAGTGTCCATCACAATCACCACCATAACCAACGTCCTGGCCTTCTACACAGGGATCATGAGCTCTTTCCTGGCCATACAGTACTTTTGCATCTACACAGGAACAACCCTGCTGTTTTGCTATTTTTATGGCATCACCTGGTTTGGAGCAGTTATGGCCCTCGATGGTAAGAGAGAAGTAGTCTGCCTACAGTGGTTGAAAAAACCAAACCAAAAATGGTCTTCATTAAAAAAGGCCTGCTGCCTTGGCTTTGGTTCTGTCCCAGATGAACAGGAAACTGATATCCATCCAATGAATGTGTTCTTTAGAGACTATTTTGGTCCTTTTCTCACACGCACCAAGACCAAGTTTTTCATAGTGCTGACATACATTTTGTACATGGCAAGCAGTATATATGGGTGCTTCCAAGTGCAGGAAGGCTTGGACCTTCGAAATCTGGCCATTGATAATTCCTACATTGCACCATATTTTGATGTAGAGGAATATTATTTTTCAGATTATGGTCCCAGGGTTATGGTTGTTGTTACTGAAAATATTAACTACTGGGATGAAGACGTAAGGATAAAACTGGAAAAATGTCTGATGAATTTTGAAGCAAGTAAGTATGTAGATGAAAGTCTTACAGAGTTTTGGTTACAAACATATGTGCAATATATGAGAAATAACAGTCAAGATCCTAATGACAAGAGTTCTTTTATGGACAGTATTTCTGAGTTTATAAATACTTTTCCAAATTTTATGTATGATATTAATATTTCATCATCAAATGAAATCATTTCTTCCCGGGGTTTCATTCAGACCAAGGATGTTGTTTACCCAGTCAGCAAGAAGTTAATGTTACAGCAGTTACGAGATATAGCCAAACAATGTGAGCTGCCCTTGCTTGTGTATAACCATGCCTTTATATATTTTGACCAATATGGAGGAGTGCTGGAAAACACTTTGCGTAATGTCATAGTTGCATCGGCAGCTATGTTCCTTGTCTCCTTGGTGCTTATCCCTAACCCAATGAGTGCCTTGTGGGTGACATTTGCAATTGGTTCTGTAATTGTGGGAGTGACAGGTTTCATGGCGTTCTGGAAGGTCAGTCTCAATGCCATATCCATGATTAACCTTGTAATTTGTATAGGGTTTTCTTTTGATTTTTCTGCACACATTTCCTATGCTTTTGTTTCCAGTTCTGAGACCTCGGCAAATGGAAAGGCAATGGAGGCCTTGCATCTGTTGGGCTATCCGGTGTTACAGAGTGCAACCTCAACAATAATAGGGGTGTGCATTTTAGCTGCTGCTGAAGCACACATATTCAGGACATTTTTTAAGGTTATGTTTCTTGTAATGGTATTTGGGGCTGCCCATGGCCTCATTTTTATTCCAGTATTCTTAACCTTTATCTGAAGGTCTGTTTGGGAAGCCACTAAAAAAAAGCCAGTTGTAGAATTCTGACTGACTCAATCCAACTTGATTTTTTAAAATGCACAATTAAGAAAAGTTGATAAACTTTAAATGAAGGAAGGCTGATTGACATGGAAATTTAATTTTAAATCATTATCTAACATCCTGAGAAAAATTAGTTTTACATGAAAATACTAAGTTACAAAATATTGTCATCCTAAAGACAGTTGCTACAGTCAAGAATAAAGTATCACTTTCCAGTTATTTTTTTCATTTTATTTCATAAATAAAAACTGGAATTATTAGTAGAATTGAAGTATTTATTTCTTGTTCATACTATAAGTGGAATACTATTTTATTGCTTTCCTATATGCAATATTATGTGAAAAAGTAACATGTATTCATGTTCAGGTGGAGTTACGTGTACTTTCTCAATGGGCTAGGGTTAGGGATTAGGATTAGGACTGTGGAGAAGGGCTAACATTTTGAGACACAAAATAGATTGGACAACATTTAGTTTTTCCATTCTCTTAATGACCCAAAGGTAAATCCTAGAACTCTTATTCACACTACATAATAAAACTTGTGTTCAGGCCTGGCTAGCTCCCTTTATTATATTTTCTGGCATACTGGCAGGTGGGTTAGGGTTGGGGTTAGGATTAGGTTTAGGGTTAGGGCTAGGATTAGGTTAGAGTTAGGGTATAGGGCTTATGACCAGGTTTCAGGACCCCCAGGTAGTATCGGGCTGGCCGAGACAATAGATTGGTCGAGTGCCAAGCTCCGAAAAATGGCCTGTCTGGTTGACAGGGCCCCAGTAAGGGAGAGAACCAGGTCTCTCGCCTCAGTTTGCTGGCCTCCCTTACTTCATCTCTCCTCAACTCTCAGGCCACAGGTGAGTGTTAAGCTCCTTCCTTCCTTCCATCTCAACTCTGTTCCACTGGTCCCTCATGCTGCTTCACCCTTCTCTGCCCTGGGCTCCAGTTCCTGCCACTGTCTGGTGGCTTGACACCACTGACACCATCTGTCTTGAGCCCTGCATTGTACAAACCCTTGTCCTGTATCTGGACTCCACCTGGGACAATGGAAAAATGGAAAATCCCTCAGAGTCTGAGTGAGTGAGTCCCGTGAAAAAAGCAGAATGAGTTGGATGACCCGACATACCCAACCATGGGAGAGAGAAAAAGCGACGCTCACCCTCCCTCCAATCGACTAAAGAAATGGGGAGATGGCTGTGGTGTCTGTTGACCCAAAGTCAATGCCAGATCCTAACTAAATCTTGTTTCCAACGGGATGTCTTTCATTTCTGTGGTTCTCTTTGATCCAAAGCTCCATGACATTGCTATTTGGGGGGGGGGACGACTCTCTCACTCTTTCCCTGGGCCAGATTCTGAACACATCTCTCTGTCTGTCTTAGCTCTGCATCACTGATGGATGTCATCTCGAGTGAGTCCCATATGTCTGTAACTAGTGTCTGTCCCATATCTGACTTGGGAGAGCAGAATAGAACTCAGGGAATGAGTCCCCTGCCATGAGAAATGCAGAAAGAGCCCCCCACATAGGACAAAAAGCCACTCGCTCACTCACTTGCTCACTTGCTCAAAGAAGTGGGAGATGGATAGATGTATGCATCTGCTGACTAAAAATCAATGTCAGATTCTAGCTAGCAGCATTGTTCCTGATGGGATGTCTGTTCCTGTGTGTGTTTTTGCTAGTTCTGCATTCCAAAGATTTGTGAAACATGGAAAAATCACTCAGGGAGTGAGGGTTTAAGTCCCATGAATCTCAGCCTAACCCTAACAATGCACAAACATGCCCTGATCCTCACCCTAACTCTAACAAACACATGCCACCCCAAAAGTAAGTGCAAGATTCTCCCTCAGTCTTTCCCAATGGGATGCCTGCCTGTCTGTGGTTTTTTGGCGGTTTTGGGTTCAAAAGCTTTGTGAATCATGGAAGATCACTCAGGGAAAGAGTGTAAGTTCCATGAGAAAAACAGAAGGGGCCTTACCCACACACAAGAGAGAAAAATCAACCCACTTGCTCCACCAAGGAAGCAGGAGACAGACGGGTGAGTGTCTGTGTGTCTGTCTGTTGAACCAAAAATCAATGAATGTCAGACTGCAGCTAAATAGTTCCCAGTGGGACATCTTTGTTTTCTGTGGTTCTCTGTCTGTTGAAAATCTTTGTGATTTTTTCCAGTTCAGAGCCAGCTACTCTATGAGACTCTGAAAGAAAGACAAGGGTTCCACATGAGTTGTGGACACCCAGCTCAGCTCAGCTCGGCTCAGCTCAATGGACTGCAAATGCACCCATTCATTTGGCAGCTCACATACCCGTCATTCACGAATCCACTTCAGTCCCTTTGCCTCTCTCCAGCGTTTCTCCCTGCTTTTTTTCTTGAGCCCTTTCCCTCTTTACGCTCTTCTTTTCTGCTTTTTCTTGGATCCTTTGCCCTCATCCTCACCCTTACCCTAACAATGCACACACAGGCCCTGATCCTTACTCTGACCCTAAGTGTGCATGCACATACACTGATCCTCACCTTAACACAACACACACACATGCCTCACTTCTCACCCTAACAACTCACACACATGCCCTGTTCCTCACCCTAACCTTAACACACACACACACACACACACACACACACACACACCCCTTGATCCTCACCCTAACCCTCACAATGCACACTTACATGCCTTGATGTTTCAGGTAGAGGCATTGTGGTTTCCTTCTGATGTCCAAATTGTTACTGCCTTTTGTCTCTCCAGTGGGCAGTAGGAGGTAGAATAGTCCAGTGAAGTTGAATGTCCTATATAAAGGCCCCTTCTCCTTCCAGGAGGGAGCCATGGACCTGCTACAGGAACTGAAGGCCATCCCTATCATGTTGTGCCTGCTCCAGGTAGGCCCTGTCTGCCCCATCCGGGGACAGCTCCAGGGACAGCAGCACCAAATGCATTTGGCAGCAGGGATTCAGTGGCTCTCTTCAACAAGGGCTTGATTGTCACATACAGCTGTTCTGAGGAGAGGGTGCTTGCCTTTTTCTGTTACTTGATGAGTCTGGGAGAGGGCTTGAAAACTCATCCTGTCCTGGGTTTCAAGTGGGACAGTTTTACTTCTCCTTGGCCAGTCCCCAACCTCTATCCTGTGGGTCTAGGCCCCGGGGGTGTGTGTGCACCACCTCTCAATCCAGGCTGCTTGCCTTACAGTTTACCCGTGTTGGGATGTCTGTCAATGCCATGCGGAAGCAGAGCTTGGACAAGGAAGTCATTGCACTGGCCAAATCATCAAGTCCTGGAAGAAGCTCTTGGGTGTGGATCAGGCCATGAGAGCTGAGTAGTAGGGCAGTGGACACTCAAAAACCGGAAGGCCTTTGCTCACTGGCATAGCATATTATGGTGGTAGTCATACTAACCAGAGACTGGCCTCCTGGGAGTGGTCAATTTGGGGCTAGAAGTGGATGGATGGATGGGTGCCCATCAGCAACAGCAGGCATAGGTGGCTGGGGAAGCATGACTGGTGGGGCAAGGATACATGCTAGAGAAGGTTCCATATAGAACAGGGAGAAAAAGTTAAGACCAGTAGTTGGGCTACAGTAGAAAGGTTTAGGGTTGGAAGCTCTAGGGGGAAAGGGGTCGAATAGTGAGAGGTCACACAGAGAAGAATGGAAAGGCCACTATGCACAGGAAATGCATTGGGTAGGAGAGGAGGAGGAGCTAGGGCTACCACAACAGGGAAGGGCTGCATGGGAAGCAGTGGCCCCCTGCTGGGGACAAAGCAGCTGGTTGCAGGAAACTGGGAGGAATAGGAAGGCAGCTCTACATCTAGATGCTGGAAAGGTCCCAGCCTTTCCTGGGTTTTATCTTTGGGGCAGTCACAGGACCTACCTTTCTTTGCGGTGATGTGACGGTTGAGATGCAAGTGGCACGTGCATGTTCTGGTTCCCTGTGAAGGCCTGGGCAGACTCCTTCCAAGGCTGGGTTTGGGAGAATCCTTATGGAGCACAGCCTTGGTCTTCTGTTTGGGGGTGGGACAGGAGAGCAGACCCCATGCATGGGTAGCCTGCTTTGGTGGGTATGTGAGGGGCAGATTCTGATGTGTTTGGTGGGATGGAGGGAGACCCATTGGCAGAAGGGCCTCGTGGCCTGGCACCTTGCACATCTGGCATGGCTAGGAGCAGGGATGATGGGGATGGTGGCTTGGCTGAGGCCACATGAGGCTCCAAAATGGCAGGTGACCAGTGAGTTTCCAAAACAGTGGCACCACAGAGAAGCTTTGCCTCACTACAATCAGGTAAACAGAACCCAGTTATCCAGGCACTATAACCCTACAGCCAAAGGAAGGAAAAAGAAAGCCTGGCTTCCCACTGCAGCTGGCAACAAACTGGCAGCCAGCATCCACATGGTGCCGATTTTAGGTACCAGAATAATGCGCAAATTCTGAGGGTAAGACAGTTCCCGCCTCAATCACAAAGGGCCTGGGTTAGTCCAAGCAGTGTGCCCCTGAGAGGGCAAATCATAAAGATATCAGGGTATAGGGGCTGGGGATTTAGCTCAGCGGCGTAAGTGCCTGCCTTGCAAGCAGGCAGTCGTGAGTTTGATCCCTGGTACCGATAAAAAAGAAAAAGAAAAGGAAAAGGAAAAGAAAAATAAAAAGATATCAGGGTAAAGCCAAAGGTGCTGCGGAGACCCCAAAATTTTTAAAAAGACACAACGTAGATAGATAGATCATCCAAGGAAAGAAAGCTGCAAACGACCAACAGAGAGGGATTAAGAGATGAGCTGCCATGAGAGCTGAAATCCCTGTAAGTGCCTGCCATGGAGGTCGAATTACCCAAGCCTTTCAGAGCTTGCAATGGGAAAGAATGCTTCAAATGCTGCACATAAAGTCTCAGACTTAATATTTGCCCTGATGGGTGTTGGATTGGGTTTGTTCCCGATGCTTTATACTCCCCAGCTTATAACTTTTGGACTGGTCATGTTTATCTCATGCCTTTGCATTTCCAAAATGATTCACCTCATTTCACTGATAGAGGGTTTCCCATGAAGAGTTTGCCATAGACTGCATAGAGTGGAT